ATTTTTTAATACTTGATGGACTTAATTGATTCAATAGAAAGTATGTGAACTCAATTGACTTTTTGGTAATAGTAGATGGACTTATTTGATAGTTTTCCCAAAAAGATATGCAAATATTTAGATACATATACATTTTTTATAAATTTATATTCATTTTTTATTCATTTATATTCATTTTTATATATTCATATATAATTATATACATGTGTGTATATATATATATGGGATTATATAGTGTCGGGATGTCAGGATTTTCCTGATCCCGGCTTTTTTAAAAAAAAATCCCGGTCCCGTCCCGACTTAGTCGGGATCGGGAAAAATTCCCGACTAGTCGGGATCGGGATTGTCGGGATCGGGATTATCGGGATCGGGATCGGGAGTCGGGAGTCGGGAGTTTTTTCCCAGCCCTATCTTCATCAATCACTCCTTCCAACTTCTTCATCCTTCGTCGCTATACTTCCCTTCACGTTTCTCTGTGTGCTTTCGTTTGTTCTTCCAAAATCAATCGCAGTGCATGCGTATTTTTTCAAATTTTCAATGCATAACCGTTGTTTCCTTTTCCCGGATTCATTTTTCGATTCCTTCCATTGCCGGTTGCCAAATATTTCGGCTCGTGCAGTGTGAACCGCCCTTTCCCAGTGTGAAGTTATAAATATTATAAGAGGGTTATTTTTGTCCAAATTGTTTCAATATAGTCCTACAAAACTTGTCCTCGGTTGACGGTCCTAGATGTGCAATTAATTCTATTTTTACTCCTATATGCGTAATTTACTCTATGTATTTGAGTAAATTACTCTATTTTAGCATATAATCCGTATCATTTTAACTTTTACACAATTCATACATTCATTATCACAAAGTTAGTCAATATGACATATCTCTATTTGTTAAGTTTGGCGATAACAATAGTAGATTGCATTTGCTTTTTTACATGATTTGTGTGAATAAATTTGTGAATACTACAACATTTGTACCATCGACTCCTTTAGTTTTTTTTTAATATTTTATTTGATACTCCGTATTATAAATGTTAATCAACTATAATCTTATTTTTTGTGAGAAGTGAATCTTTTTCTAATGATCGAAAAGACGTTAGAAGTTTTAATTCATAATATTTTATTATTTCTTTTTATATCCTTTATTTCCTTTTACATTTTATTTAAATAATCAATAAAAGAAGATGAGATAGACTATTACTTTCATTATCTAATTCTAAAATATAAGAACTTGATCAAATAAAATTATAATAAAAATAAGAAAACGAATCAAAACGAACTAAATTAAACCTAATACTTTTCACTTTGGTAAACCGAACAACAAACCGAACCGAAACACAAATGGTTTTATTTTGGAACAAATTTTTCCAACCCAAATAAACCGAAACCGAAACCGAAGAAAACCGAACCGTAAACCGGTTTGCCCACCCCTACTACAAAACATGGAACGAGAGAGTATAGTTGATGAAATTCTAATCAGTGCAACAAGAAAAGATTCCGGAGAGGTGACCGCTCGGAAAGGTGTTCTAAGTCAACTAGCCACTAAATATTCAGTGAGGAGAAGAAGTATTTTCAAGATCTGGAGCAAAGCAAGAGACCAAATTGAAATTGGGAAGCACTAGATGTAACAACCAAGTGGGTGGGAAACTCAATCAGAAAAAGAGTGTTGTTTGATGTTACCAACATTTCACAAATCCCACTGCACAAAAGGACTAACATAAGGGCACTCGCTTCAGGCAGTTCAGTTTCAAAGTCAAGTATTCACAGAATGGTTCAGAGAGGTGTGCTTAAAAGTCACACAAATGATATTCAGACTTTGCTAAGTGATACAAATAAAACTCACAGACTGATGTTCTGTTTCATAGAAGTAGATAAATCAATTCCAGCAAAGCCAGTTTTTAAACAAATTCATAATGTGATACACATTGATGAGAAAATGGTTTTTCTCGTAAAAAAACATCACAAAGATACTACATGAGGCAAGTAGAATTGGATCCACATAGGGTATGCAAGTCAAAAAGTTTCATAACTATGGTCATGTCACTACGAGCAGCGGGGAGGCCTCTGTTTACAGCAAATGGGGATGTTATTTGGAATGGTAAAATATGCATTTTCTCACTCATTGAGAAAGTGGCAGCTAAAATGAAAAGCAAGAACAAGGATGCAGGGAAAATGGAAACCAAACTTGTACTTAGTATTTAGAAATTAGTGTTTAAAGACATGTTTATCAACACAGTGCTACTACCATCAAAGAAAAATGGCATGAACAGTTAAGCAATGACATTGTAATTCAACAAGATAATGCAAGGCCACACATTTTAGATTCAGACCCAGAGTTTATGGATGCCTCAAAAGCAGATGGATTTAATATTACCCTAACTAACCAGCCCCCTAATTCTCCTGATCTTGACATACTATTTCTTGGATTCTTTAGGGCAATCCAGCCTTTGAAAGACCAACAAGAACCTAAGAATGTGGATGAACTGTTAAAAGCAGTAGATGAAGCATTTTACCAGCTTTCACCACCACTCTCAACAAGGTTTGGTTAAGCTATCAATATGTGATGGTAGAGATAATGAAAGTGGAGGGAGAACAAGTACAAGCTACCACACAATGCAAAGGACAGAATGATCACAGAAAGAAGGTTGTTCATAAGTATAGAGGTTGTTGTGGAGCTACTAGAAGCCACATACGTTGTTTTATCCCAACAACAGGGCAACACTACTACTCTTAACTTACTTTAGGCAAGTCATGGCCAGTTCATCCATGAAGATGATGAGGAAAACAGATAAAGAAAAAAACTCCCTTGTTAGGTGTCAACGTCCCACATCATTGATTCACATTCGGGTAGGATCAATTTTAAGAAGTCCTCTAGACCGGGATTGCGAATGTACTGCATTCGCACCTCCTTCCGTATTTTAGCAAGATTACAGTCTAAAAGGTCCTCCTTGTCTGTCATCTCTTACTGCTCTTCATTGTCCATGACCACAAGCTCCACCGGACCTCCACTGACCTCCTCCTCCCACTCCTTTTCACTGTCCGGAACCATAAGCTCCATCGTAGCTTCACCGTCCTCCTCCTCTAACTCCTCTTCGCTGTCTGGAACCACAAGCTCCATCAGACCTTCACTGTCGTCATCATGGGACTCCACAACGTTGTCCGGAACCACAAGATCCATTGGGCCTTCACCAGAGTCGTCATTTGACTCCTATTCATTGGTCGGAACCATAAGTTCCTCCATGCATTCATTGCATGCAGGTAGATCTTCCATGGTAGTCGTATTTAGGGATTTCAAACTAGGACGGACGATTAGATCAACAGATAAGCTAAGGTTAAATTGATTTGAAATCAGAGAAGGAAATTAAGTTCAACGAAAATGGGTGGGAATGAAGGAGGGGAAGTGGTATGGACAAAAAAAGAGAGAGAGAAAGTGTTGTGGGAAGGAGATAAGATCAATCGGTGGAGTGGAAGGAAAGTGGGTTGGAGGGTAAATAATAATGAGGGGCAAAACAATTTTTTATTAGATAAAACTTTCCTTAATTAGTAAGTGGAACTATTTTTTTAGACGGCCCAAAAAGAAAACCGGGAACTATTTTGCGGGATGGAGGGAGTAACTTTTTTGTATTTCAAAAGGCTAGGATATTATGTATGTCCTTTTCCCTTATTAATTATTTTTTGTCTGACATTTGCAAATATTTTGTATAGTTTAGATATTGAGTTCGATACAATTTCATGTGATTCAATAATCATTATCTCATTATTAACATATCATAACAACAACATTAGTACCATCATTAATTCATTATCATTGCAATTATCTCACCATTATCACAAAATTACCATAAGTGGGGCTGGGCATGGTCCCATTTAAGACCGGTTTTGGACTGACTGATTCCAAAACATGATTTATATTTTCGATTGCGAGCTAGTTCCATCCCCGACAGTTCTGGTTCGGTCCAATATTTTTAATTTTTTTTATACACTTTCACATCCTCTATCCCTCTCCACAGCCCCTCCCCTCCCCTTTTCAGCATTTAAATGTAGCCTCATCCCCCATCCCTTTTGAAATAAATGGGACCGACACTAGGACCGGCCGGTCCCAAATCCAAAAAATTAAGGCATGGAACCTCTTTCCCATGTATCCACTATCAATCCCGACAGTAACCTTATTTTAGAGTCCCGATTCGAAACCTGACTAGTCTAGGTCTAGTCGATTCTGAAACCGATACCATGTTCAAACTTGCTAAACTACGAGTACATACTACTGCAAGCAACGTGTAATGCTAAAAATGAACAAATAATGATACTAATAGATATTACAATAATTGTGATTAAACAATAATAAAATTAACTTTATGGAGAATAAAAGTATAAATTATATGCGATTCCAGCTCCTTCAAATTTTACATGTAGGTGGCATTAAATGTAACTAGAAAGAAAATACAAATCTCAACCAGTGGCGGAGCCAGGATTGACAGCTTAAAGGGGCCGAGGCTTAAGAAATTTATATAGCAGAGGCCAAAATTTAAATTTTCACTATATTTTTTACTACTTATAAATATTTATACATATATATACATCGGACATTTTTTTCTTGCACGGGCCGAGGCCACCGCCGGCCTCCCCCTGTCTCCACCCTGATGTCAACAACAAAATGTGGATGTTCCCTAACCTGGTTGAGGGTTACCGGGTGCGGCTGGTGTTGGAAGGTCATCTCATTCGTTTGGTCGATTAGTGTAGCTCACGTCTTATGGGCGCAGTTTTGATTTGGTAAGTCGTCGTCTTCGTCGTGGGTCGATTCTAGTTTGGTAATATAAATCGTGGAATAACAAAGCAACATCAATATGGAAGAGTTGGCCACGAGCTATGAGCGCTTAGTCATTGGCTATGAATGTTGGGAATGCTTTAGGAAGAAAAATACATATTTCTTAGGAAGAAATAATCCATACGCAGCTTGTTAAAGCTTAGAAAATAAACTCCACATACGTAGCTTTTGTGGTGCAAAAAAAAAATCACTTCACATTGCATTAAAAGAAACGGATCATTACAAGCTTAAATAGCTAAACTCACACAACCTAGCACTACACACACGCACGCCACTATCTAAGTAACTAACTGCCCGTGTACGTATGTAGTTACACCCATGATAATGAGACCCACTCACCCACTAACACATGCATGCAAATAATTAACCTAATAACACTAAATGCAAATTCCTTAATGTGCAACTTCATTAACTAATTGACCCAAATTAGACTAACACTAATGCAACGACACACACGCACATCAGTGCCACTACAACATATGCATAATTAATTACCGACCCATGCAAATAACTAATCTAATAATCTAGCACTAATAACAAGATTAGGTCCAACAATGAAGAGGTGGGGGTCATTCTGCCGGATGTGAATGAAAACGATGACCAAGAGAACATGTATAGAAAGGAGCTGACCAGGTTTGTACAGAAAGGAGCTGCAAGAAAACAAAATTATCACCTTATGAGTCTCATAATTTTTTTTATGTATAACCACTCTAGGAGCTTACATAAAGGGTCTCTCTTTGATTTTTCAATATATTTTAGAGCCACTTCATGGCTACCTCCTTTGCTCTCAATGAAATTCACATTGTTCAAAGATGTCCTGACATCCACAAGGAGGCCTAGCAGCAGAGTTCAATTAAGGAAATCGGCGATGAAAGGTGTTTATTCTCTTTCTTTCCTGAAAAGGATATGAAGTGTGTTCTTGAATATGGTCTATGATCACCTTGTAGCTTTTAATGAATTAAAAGTTGATGATCTGCCTAAAGTTCCATTATACTTTTCGGATTGTTGGATCCAAGTGCATGATGTGCCAGTAACTTACCTAACCCTAAAGGTGGCAAAAGTTATTGGTAACTTTATAGTAAGGTTTGATAAGTTAGATGAGAATCAGTTGAAAGGTGTTGGGGACTTGGGGGCTTATTTGAGAATCTGGAACTTCCCGATATAGGGAGAACTCTTAAGACAGTGTTGGACTCGGGCCGGGTGGCCCGACCCGGAACCAGCCCGGGACCGGTACTGTGCTGAACCGGCCCGGCCCGGTGGCCTGGCCAGTGACCGGTCTGGGTAGGCCCGGCCCGGGGGGTTCCCGGTGCGGGCTCGGGTCACCCAAAAGCCGAACCGGCCCGGCCGGTTCGGGCCCGATTTCAAGCTTTTTAATTTTATTTTTTTCAATTTTTTAAAACTTTTTGGGTTGGGCTGGGTATTTTGGGCCATTTGAGGTGGTTTGGGGGGTTGGGGGTGGGGGGGGGGGGGTTAATTAGGAAAAGGAAAAAAAATAAAAAATAAAATGACCCGAGGCCTGGGCCGGTCCCGGTTCATCCTTCCCAAAAAAACAAGCCCGGCCCGGCACGGGTCCATGACTATCTTAAGAACATGAAAGTTCAAAAAGAAAATGGCATCTGTTTTTTGGTGTATGAAAATCTCCCAACTTTTGATTGGCATGTGGTAATGTGGTATTATTCGCCATGTACATAAGTTTTGTCTTCAGGTTCTAAAAATCCAACTCGGAGTAACCCAATGAGTTCGGGCCGTGAATAGGGGTGGATTCGGGTCGAGCCACCCGGCCTGTGGACCGACCCGGCCTGCTACTGTGCAGGACTGGGATCGGCCCGGTTCTCGGGTCCAGGGTCCGGGTCGGGCCTAGGACCGTGGGGGAGGGCGGGTCCGGGCTCAGGTCGTGGTTTTGGCGAACCGGCCCGACCAGTTCGGGCCGAGTACCGCGCCTATTTTAATTTTTTTTCAATTTTTTTACTTTTCGGGTTGGGCTGGGTATTTTGGGCCATTTAGGGTGGTTTGGGGGTGAGGGGGGGAGGGTTGGGGGTTAACTAGGAAAAGGGGAAAAAATAGCAATTACCCGAGGCCCGGCCCGACCCGGACCCGGGGATTACCTGGGCCGGTCCCGGGCCCCCCATTCCTGAACCGCCGGCCCAAACCGGCCCGGACCCACCCCTAGCCGTGAATGAGAGCAAATGGGCAATGTGGTGAAAGGGAACAAGTGGCTGATTCTGAAGAAGAATAATAACTAAGGGATAAACAAGGTGACGGACACGCAAGGATCCATATTATTGAGAACCCTAATAGAACCTGCTTCTATCTTCCATGTAGGGGTGGACTCGGCCGGGCGGCCCGGTTTGGTACTGTTTGGGCCCGGCCCGGTACCCGGTCTTGGAGCCGGTTCGGGCCAACCGGAACCGGTCAGTTCCCGGTGCGGGCTCGGGCCCCCAAAAACACGAACCGGCCCGGCCGGTCCGGGCCCGGTTCGTGCCTAATTTTTTTTTATTTTGTTTTTTCAATTTTTTTTATTCTACCGGGTTGGGTTGGGTGTTTTGGGGGGGTTTGGGGGTGGGGGTGAGGGGGGGTCGGGAGTTGATTACAAAAGCAAAAGAAAATAAAAAAAATAAGCCTTAACCGGAACCGGTCCGGTTTGGGCCCGGCCCGGAACCGCCGGCTACCCGGGCCGGTTCCGGTTCCACCTTTCCCAAATAAAAGCCCGGCCGGGCCCAGGCCCGAACCGGAACCGGCCTAGCCCGGGTCCACCCCTACTTCCATGCAGGCGAGTCTAGAATAAATGGGAAGCGGGCAAAAGGCACAAGTGGCAAAACAAAAGTAATGTCGAGCAGAACTGTGGAAGAAGAGTCAACAACAGTCAACAGGCGCATAAACAATGATGGAGTTGGAAAATAATGAAAGAGAAAACAAGATTGGGGAGAGCGTTGGTTGACAAGCTCATTGGGGAAAATTAGTCATGGACCCGGGCCGGGCCGGTTCCGGGCCAGGCCCGACAGACCTTTTTGTTGGGAAGGATGAACCGGGACCGGCCCGGGTAGCCACCGGGTCCGGGCCTCGGGTCATTTTATTTTTTATTTTTTTTCCTTTTCCTAATTAACCCCCCCCCCCCCCCCCCAAATGGCCCAAAATACCCAGCCCAACCCGAAAAGTTAAAAAAAATTGAAAAAATAAAAAATAAAAAGCCCGGAACCGGGCCTGAACCGGCCAGGCCGGTTCGGCTTTTGGGTGACCCGAGCCCGCACCGGGAGCCCCCCGGACCGGTCACATGCCGGGCCACTGGGCCGGGCCGGTTCAGCACAGTACCGGTCCTGGGCCGGTTCCGGGTCAGGCACTCGGGCCACCCGGGCCAAGGCCAACACTGGGGAAAATGCAAGATTGATGTGCGCTTTGGCACTTTCATTTATATTCTCAAACGATGCCAATATTTTGTTTATGTTTTGTTTTTAATCATTTCAGACAGGATGACTGGATGATAGGGAGTGTTTCATTGTGGTATACGATATACCTAGACACATGGGAGTATTTCATTGTGGTATACCTGGACACATGGTGTGGATACTTTGCGGTGCAAGTCTTTCTATTTGGCTATTGTATACTACTTGCACGTTCAGTGATTGGTGAATTAATGTGCATTTCTAGAGGTTGTTTTACGTGTTATTGATATATCAATATAAGGTTTTTCCATTAAAAAAACTTTACATGTAATTATGTAAATGAAATGGTAAAAATGTTTATCGCCATAGACATGATCTCAAATGAACGACCTGGAAGTCTGGAACCAGTCCAATAGGTCGGGAACCAACAATCCCTATATGGAAATCTAAAGAAACAGTCACTAGTTAGATTACTTAGATATAATGAAAAATAGCAAAAACAAATTTTCAAAAATATTACAAATATTTTGTGGAGTTTAAACAAACTTCTCACCATTACTACACATTAAAATTTGAAGTCTGATAGTTGAACCTTCTTGTTTTGTAGAGTCGTTGACTTAGTACTTTGAGTCTTTGATTCACAATCACAAGTCAAAGCAATGTTTTGCACTACATTCGATGTTGGCTCTTACTTGATCTCTCAATATGGTTGAAGTTTGAATCAAAAACATCATTCCTCAATAACAGCATAAAAACCAACATTACAATTGCTTTAAATTTAACTGAAATGTAATCACTCATATACACTGTTGCACAATCTCGGTTGACATTTAGGAAGGAATCACATGCTTCGTGGCCGATAGACCGGGGTCCCAGACTCCCAGTTAGATCACATCTGCCTTAATAATATCCTAATCCTAAACAACCGTCAATGTGAATATCACATCCCCTTCAGCGTATGAACATTCTTCACCCAAGACATTTTACAATTACAGATAATCCCCATTAGATCCTCTTGGATGAGGGCATACCCACCCCCTACCCGTCTCAGCATCCAATAAAAATAAACTGAAAAGCCAAAACGAGATGAGAAGAGTTGCTGGGGGTGAAGGGAGAGGAGACAGGTGTTGAATACAGTATACAATGCAAAGAATTGTAAATAGTTAAAAACACTAACAAATGCTATCCCTCAGGCAAGTCACGGAAATATATATCCCAAATATGATGATTTTTGCTCAGCAAAAATCACATACACTGCAAGCACGCTCCTCATGAAGCTTCAAATGTAAAATGCTGTAAAAGTAAATGTACAGACCTGCAGGGAAAGACAATTTGGATACATTAACATTGACTAATATTATACAGACTTCACAAAAAATGACATCAAAGTATAAATACTTTCAACTACAGAAGCTCCACAATAATTCATTAACCTAATAAGAACATCCACAAACAGTCTCGGTGCTTTAGTACATGGATAAGGCTGCGTACATCTGACCCTCCCTTACCCCACCGTAGGTGGGAGCCTTTGCGGCACTGGGGTAATGATGATGATGAATAAGAGCATCCACCTCTATAAAAAATTGTTTGGGGATGCAATGGGTGATATGGCCATGTTTTGGGGGGTGATGAATGAGGGCAAGTGGGCAAGGGGTTATTTTGTATAATAATAATCCACTAGCGAACATCGGATCTGGAAAATTTGAGAATTGAGAGTTGAAAGGGGTTATTTTGTATAATAACAATAATAATCCACTAGTGAACTTTGGATCCGGAGTACTTGGCATTTAGAGTGAAAACTTGTCTGATTCTAGTTCAGGACCCGCAAGAATCAGCTTGTTTGGATATAATGGTTGGGAAATAGTTAAGTTTTGAAATTCTTCTGGATTTTTATGTGGTGGGTCTGGAATATTTGAGAATTGAGAGTGATAGGGGTTATTTTGTGTAATAGTAATCAACTAGCGAACCTCAGATCCCGAAAATATGAGAATTGAAAGTGAAAAATTGTCTAAGTCTAGTTCCAGAATATTTGTGTGGTCATGGATGTGGATGCACTATGGAATCACTCAAGCATTGAAATAATTAGATAATCCTTCATTGTAATAACAAAATATTTGGATAAAAGATAATTAATTCCAGCGGTTGAAAAGTTAGTTAATACTTATTAATAGTATAAATAATAAAACATCCATTGTTAATAAACAAAAACCCAACAAAGAAACCACATTTTGGCCTGTGGGTCGCCTGTCAATTTAAAACATTAACCAGTTAATGGCAAAATATCAATGTTAATTAGTCAATCACGTTAAACGTATGAAAGGCAGACAAAAACTCCCAGTGACCTAGCATACTTTGAAATGAATCGTGTACAAGATCGGCATCAATTTCAAGTGCATTTAAAAAATGACTAAAATACTTAAAATTTGATGAATCCATAGAATGAAATTTTTCAAGAACAACAATTGAATTTTATTGCTGAAACTTTTGCCATGAGTGCTATGGTCGTACTAAAGGCATTACTCCTTACTTTTTACTAGGACGGAATAGTTTTTATTGCAAACATCACGAATAAATGTATAAATTATAGAGGCATACCATGCTCTTATGGTCCAAATAAAGGTGAAATGGCACTTCAAAACAATTTTAAGACCCCAATGATCATGCTCCACTAGGACTGTAGGGATGACAATTTAATTGATAATATATCAGGCATAATATTCATACTGAACCATCACCAGAAGTCATTGATTGCCCAATGACTGTTCTTGCTCTAAGCTGCAATAAGACAAAAATTAGACAGTCTTTAACTAAAAGATAAAAACCTAAGGCTCCACTAGGAACTCAGAAAACTTTACAAGGGGATATGGGAAAAATTTGGGTAAGAAGGGAATTCTGGGGGGGAAGCAATGGTTAGAGCAACAAATTAATTTCTTATGCTTGTTTAAAATCATCAAGTCAGCTAGGTCGTCACCTGCAAGCAAAGTGTCATCCCTCCGCCCCGCGTCATGTCAAACATGCAAGGCGCGCTACACTTCATTGGTCTGGGTGTGGTGATAAGAATGCTAAGGTTGCTAGGTCATTGCCCGGAAGCGACGCATCATCCTATTGCCCAGGGATGATGTCGAATATGCAAGGGCATGATGGGGTTCAACCGTTCAAGGTGGTGTTAAAAATAGAAGGTGAAGTGCTAAATTGCATTTTGGGACATGGAATGTTGGGTCTCTTGCGGGAAGATCATATGAAGTAGACGAAGTTATGAGGAGAAGCAATATATGCACTACGTGCATGCAAGAAACTAAGTGAGCGGAAGTACTTAGGAAGAACGGCCGCATCATGAGCACGTGAGATTATTCCAAGGTTTTAAGTTGTATTTGGGGAGAAAGAAGACCAGAAATGGAGTAGGCATCATTGTGGCGCATGCAGGGTAGTGAAAAGCATGTCAAAAGCGTGCGTCTGAGCGCTTAAGCGCACCAGGTGAGGCACGTATGAAGGTCAGCGCCTGTTAGAGTCCCAGGCACAGTCACAGGCGCAATAAGCGCTGACGCGCAGAAAAGTGCACGCTTACGTCGCCTGGCCTGGGAAAGCCTTATCAGCCTATTTATTTGTTTGATCCTGCTTATACATATAATAAGATTTAGCGCATTCAAGTAATAGGTTAAAACAACTTAAACGCATGTTAAATTCTTCTAAGTCACGGTAATAGCCTTCTATATAGCGTGACTTCATCATTACTCTCATATGCTCTCTCTACTCACGCAATCGGTTCAGCGCTGAAACAACAATTAACGATCAACCCACAGAAGCCAAAAACCCATAAGGTGTCATCTTCATCATCATCTTCCCATGTTCTTTCTTCTTCCTTTTTTAGTTTGTAGTCTTCATTTATTTTGTTATCTTGATGATCCTTTCTTTTTGTTCTTTCAGTTTATCTTCTTCCTTTCCTTTTATAGTTCTCTTTGCTTCTTATCTAATCTATACAGCTCAAGCATATTACATGTATGATGTATCTGACTAGGCATACTTTATAGTTCTCTTTGTTTCTTACATATTCTATACTTTATAGTCCCTTTGATTCTTATATATTCTATACTTTATAGTTCTCTTTGCTTCATCTTATTATCCAGTTAACTCTATAGCTTCTTATTATCATTTCATACTTTAATGGCATAAAACTTCATATAATCTAACTTGGTTAATATAGTTCTCTTTGCTTCTTATATATTCTATACTTTATAGTTCTCTTTGCTTCATATATATTCTATAATTTATAGTTCTCTTTGCTTCATCTTATTATATACTACCTCTGTCCCTTTTGTATTGGGACGGAAGAGAGTGGCACGATTATTAAGAAAAGTGGGTTTGTGTGGTTGATATTAATTGATAAAGTAAGAATAAAGTAAGAACGATTTAGAGCCACACAAACTTTACCAAATATGGTATGGGACAATTTAAGTGGGATTTCTCAAAAAGGTAAAATGGGACAATACAAGGGGGACAGAGGGAGTAGTTAACTACTCTATATCTTCTCATTATCATTTCATACTTTAATTGTATAAAACTTCAAATAATCTAATTTCTAACTTAGTTAATAGTTTCATACACTACACAATTTATGTTACTCCTAGTCCTGAAACTGCAAAATCAGCTAAAACAGACCATACCCGGTGTTTTGTTCTTGTGAACCATGACGTATAGTTCTCTTTGTTTCATATATATTATATACGTTATAGTTCTCTTTGTTTCATTTTAACTTTATATCTTCTTATTATCATTTCATACTTTAATTGTATAAAACTTCATATAATCTAACTTGGTTAATAGTTTCATACACTACACAATTTATGTTACTCCTAGTACTGAAACTGCAAAATCAGCTAAAACTGACCCTACCCGATGTTTTGTTTTTGTGAACCATGACTTTATATTTGTAGATTGTGGCTGTTATTGAGAAACATGACTTTTTAATGCATTTAGTTCAATATGATGTTGAATATGTCATATTGATCACTCTAGAATAGAATACATAATATTTTATTTTTTAAATAGTGCGCTTGACATGAGTCAGGCGAGCGCTTTTTTGCGCCTTACGCCTCAGGCGATATAAATACTCTAGAGCCTTGAGAGCGTCTTTCGACTTAGACTACCTTGGGCGGGTGACTATGTTGAGGATGTGGTAAAGTATTTACTGCATCATGAGCATTAAATTAATGATAGGGGGTGAGATCATGCCCACAGTAAGTGTCTATGCACCACAAGTTGATTTAGATGCATCTATAACTCAACGGTTCTAAGAAAATCTTGAGGAAATGGTGCGAAGAGTGTCAAGGGGAGCAAAGCTGATCATTAGGAAGCGACCTCAACGGGCATGTGAGCTCGAGTTGTGTTGGTTTTGAGAGTATTCATGGGACATGGTTTTGACACTAGAAATGAGACAGGAAAGAACATCTTGGATTTTGCCTCGTATGAGTTGGCTATAATGAACACTTGGTTCAAGCAAAGACACTATCACCATGTGACCTATAAAAGTGGAGCTAATTGTACTCAAATTGACTACTTGGAGAACTAGCTACACTGATTGTAAGACTATCCCAAGAGTGATCACTCAACATAGAATGTTTGTGCTTGATTGTCGAAGTAAGAATCATAGAAGGCACATTAAGCAACAAGTGGAGTCAAAGATAAAGTGGTGGAGGCTCAAGGGGGGTCTCCAACAACGCTTTGCAAACAAAATGTTTAGAGAAAATGTAAGGTGTATTGATAACGATGCACATGTAGAGGATGCATAGTTATCAATGGAGTTGACCATTAACAAAGTGGCAAAGGAGATATTTGGAGAATCTAAAGATTGCCTGCCACCAAAAAATGGACACACCTTGGTGGAATGATAAGGTGAAACAAGCCATAAGGAACAAAGGAATTGCTACAAAAATTTGGGGAAAAGTTGGAGCGATAGAAAGCTATAAAGGATGCACGAGAGAGTGAACAAGGAATTGTATGTAACGTTGGACTCTAAGGAAAGAGAAAAAGATGTCTATAGACTTGCTCGTCTCGCGATCATAGAACTCATGATATTGAAATAGTTAAGTGTGTAAAGCATGCCGATCAAAGGATACTAATGGAAGACGAGGAAATAAAAAAGAGGTGGTGGTCTTTGATACATCGTTCAACAGGAATAAAATACAAGATATTGGTGATCTAACCATACCAGATTCAATGATAAATCGAGATTTTGTAAGGAACAAAGAGATTGCTACAAAAATTTGGGGAAAAGTTGGAGCGATAGAAAGCTATAAAGGAAGCACGAGAGAGTGAACAAGGAATTGTATGTAACGTTGGACTCTAAGGAAAGAGAAAAAAATGTCTATAAACTTGCTCGTCTCGCGATCATAGAACTCATGATATTGAAATAGTTAAGTGTGTGAAGCATGTCGATCAAAGGATACTAATGGAAGACGAGGAAATAAAAGAGAGGTGGTGGTCTTCGATACATCGTTCAACAGGAATAAAATACAAGATATTGGTGATCTAACCATACCAGATTCAATGATAAAAGTTAAAGAGGCTTTAAGAAAGATAGGGTGGAAGAAAGAAGTGGATTCAGATGGCATACCGGTCGAGGCTAGGAAAAGTTTGCGAGAGAGAGGCATCGAGTGACTAACACGTTTCCTTAACAAGACTAGATTTACACCCGTGTGATGCACGGAACATAAATAAATATTTTAAATTATGTATAGATTCAATAGAATAAAAGTAATATATTATGTCAAAAAGGAATAAAATACATAAAGACCGGAATGAAAATGCAAAGATGACTATTTTTGGAGAAAAAAAGATATTAAGCAATGGATAGATATTTATAATAATTGCAATCCTAACTACTTAAAAAATTAATGTTCCAAACTTCCAATGAATCTTAGCATTCCAGCAATCAACTGGAATAACGCATGTCCAACATTCGTAGCCAAACTATTTCCCACTGGCAGTTACCCAAGCATCCTCAGCACATGCCTCCATACCCGGTTCAATAACCCACATCCAAGATCCTCAACCATTGCATTGGAACCCTAGGTTCCCACAACAAATCTGCCACATCCATGTGAGTAGACCCCACACGTCAGAGAAAGTCGAAGCAGTGTACCCAATCAGGCTCTACCACCTCGCAGACCTTGTCACTATTCACGTCCCCGCCGGGTCCAATTGCCGTCGTCGGTGACAACTTCAAACAATAGGTAAGCAAGGCTTAAAGGTCTGAAAAACGGGCAAATTTTGACGATAACTCGCAAACCTTCCCCCGCTGATAGAAGACAACAAGTCCTACATAGCTAATCATCTTCTATAGGAACCGTAGTCGCCCGTTCATAAGCAACCAATTCTTTTTCCGGCGACCGCCACATCATCAACTAGGAGATATGCCCATCAACTGACCAGAAGTAGGCTACCCAGACAAAAAAAAACTTATAGCGAACACCTTACCTGCCCGAGACCTGCCTGCAATCTCTGGGACCTGCCTGCCTTTCCTGCGGCGACGGAGGCATAGCAGGGAGAAGAGAGAGCCATTGTGGTAAAAATTGTCATTCCAACTCGCTCATTCCAACTCGCTAAGAAAACTGTCATCACAAAGCTTGTTTGATACGCATCTTGCCTGACAGTGTGAGTGCTCCATCCAGCTGACTGTTGTGCACTTGGTTCGAAAACATTGACCAGAGAGTAGAGTACCCTTTTTAACCTACAGATAATCAATGACCCGATTTGGCCCACTTTTGACCCGTATTTTTTAGCGGGAAAAGTGACCAATTTTTCACTTGCTTTTGTATAGAGTAAGATTTGGAGAAACAACAAAATGTCAGCAAGTTAGCGAAAGAGTACTCTTATTCCCTTATTTAAGAATAAAGGTGATATACAAGAATGTATCAACTATCGAGGAATTAAGCTCATGAATCACACCATGAAACTTTGGGAGTGAGTGGTTGAACAAAGGCTATCGAGAAGTGTTAAGATTTCAGAGAATCAATTTGGTTTTATGATTGGTCACTCAACAATTGAGGTCAACACCTTCTTCGGCATAGAAAAGGATCAGCATTTGGTGTTTATTAACTTAGAAAATGCATATGATAGGGTACTTCAAGAAGTTCTTTGGTAGGCTTTAACTAAAAAAAGACATCATGTAAGCATATCAGCATCATAAGGATATGTATGAGAATTGTACTACAAGTGTACGTACTAGTGTAGGGAGGACTGTAGAGTTCCCTCAAGATGATATACTGTGGTGCATGATGTTTGACGACAACATTGTATTGATTGATGAGACATAGTCGGGTTAAAGCAAAGTTGTTAGTATGGAGACAAACATTTGATAACAAGGATTTCAAATTGAAGCAAGACTGAGTACATGGAGTTCAAGTTTGATGGAGGTAGAAGCCGTGGCAATAATGGAATTATTCTAGATGGTAAGGAGATATTTGTCGGTGATTGTTTTGTTACTTGGGCTCCATAATTCAGGACCGTGAATTAGATGGAGATGCATCTCATAGAATCAGAACAGAGTGGATGAAATGGAAGAGTGTGCCAGAATTCCTATGCGATCGGGATATGCCGACTAGACTGAAAGGTAAATTCTATCGGAGAGCAATTAGGCTTGCATTACTGTATGGCATGGAGTGTTGGATGGTGAAACAATGTCACGTTCAAAAGATGAGTGTAGCAAATATTTGCATGCTACGTTCGATGTGTGGACATACTAGAAAAAACCACTTGAGGAATCAGACAATCAGACGAGTTGAGAGGTGTGGAGAAAAAGCGTGAAAGAGAAGGAGAGGGAGACTCAAACAGTCATGGATTAGAGGAGTCAGAAGCGATATAATTCTTCTAGGTTGATCTGTTATCATCCTTTTCCCCTGTCTTCCTTTTCTTTCTTATGTTTTTTTACTTCTTTGTCTATATACATATATATACACACACACATAGTCACATACATATATAATAGGAAAATATTCATGTAAGGTAGGCCTAAAAGTTACATCCTCCGTCCCATTCTACCTGTCTTACTTTCCTTTTTGGGTTGTCCCAAAATAAGTGTGAGTGTCACCTTTCCTCTTTTGGAAAAAAATATGTGGTTCATAACATTTCACTTTTATGTACTCAAACCTCAACCACAACTTTTAGCTTTTCAACCACTTTATTAAATATTGTGTCAAAATCAAAGGAAACACATAAAATGGGATGGAGGTAGTATTATTTTAGGCTTTTTTCAGGAGGTGTTTCCAAGACGAGTTTTTTGATAAAATTTCTGAGCATGTTCTCCATAAAGTGTATACTATGTGTACGAAATTTTAGCTTAAAATTTCATCAGAAAGTAAGTTAAATAATTTTTTTTAAATTCCGCATTTTATGTATATAAAACATGCAATTTTTTAAAATAATTTATTTAACTGACTTCCTGATTGAATTTTTATACTATCCTCCGTATCATAATTGTTGCAACATTGGAATTTACACATTATGCATGTATTCCACTTTGACTACATTATTTTTTTTGAAAAATTTATTTATTAAATCAGTTTCATAATCTTATTTTTTTAAAGTTTTTTCTAATAGAGAATTAAATATAATGACGGTCAAAATTATGCATCGGCAAGCGTGAAAAAAGGAATGTTGCAACTAAAAAAGAACGGAAGAAGTATAAAATTTGATGGACATAACATACATGGAGAACATGCACACAAAATTTCATCACAAAATTCGAGCCAGAAGCACCTCAAATGAAACAGGCCTAAAAATGGTAACTTTTAGGCCTACCTTATATATATATATATATATATATATATATATATATATATATATATATATATATATATATATATATATATTCTTTTTACCCCTTTTTATCCTAACATTTTTATGTATATCTTATCTGTATTTTATATTATCATTTTTATCTTTCTTTTTCTTTTGGCTCAGATATCACCGATTCATGTTAGTGGATCCCAAAAACTTTTGGGACCAAGGCTTGGTTGTTATCATTGTTTTTGTTTAAAATCATCAAATCATATTTAATTTTCTTATGTATTTCCTAAGATAAAATAAAGCATAACAATATAACTTTCTAACTTTCCTTGGCACTTTCTTCCTTTACCTAGCATTTTCCACAATCAAAAAGACCAAGCATGCCCTAAGGGTCCATTTAGAACCACGAAAATACAAGGTAAAGGCATGACGAAAAACAGAGGAAAATTGCATGGAAAGAAAAAGTCTGAGAATATAAAAATGTGCTAGAACTCAATATACTTCCTCCGTTCTTTTTTAATCGCAACACTTTCCTTTTATGGCAGTTTCAAAATAATTGCAACATTACCTTTTTAGGTAATAAAAATACCTGCATAGACTTAAATACCCTTCCTCATCCATTTAAAATCAATTTAATTAAATCCTACCACCAAATGTCTTATCCTGTTTTTCCTTGCTCCCACTGCTTATCTCTCTTCCTTTACATTCTATCCAAGGGTAGGCATCCAGCTTATTCCAACTACGAATCCACCCATCTCTATTTTCTTACATCTGGTTCTTATTATCTTTAACTTCCTCAGTTCCTTGCATATCTTCATCGTCTTCAATTTCTTTCTTACTACCATTTCTACTATCCATATTTTTCAATGTAACACGTCTTTTACAATTTCTCTCCTTTTCTGCACTCTGTTTCTTCCGCCGGCCAAAATGAAAAATCAGGAACATGTTTCGAGCTACTGGGCTCCGAGACTTGATTGGTAGAGGTAGATCAGATTCGACTGTTTCGGAGAATCCTCTTCACGTAATTATATTCCGGCAAAAGAAATCTCTTGCGTTATGAATCAACGAAGAGACTAAGAGTGGGAGAAAATACGGAGTATCAATTACAAGGAGAGATCTCTGGTCGCTTCACTGTAGCTTTGCATTTGGGAACTTTTTACTGTAGCACTTTATGTGTTGTATGTACGAGGGCATGAATGGAACTTTTTTACTTTCCTTGTATTTCTTAATTTGTGTGCCAACTCCATGTGTTGCAACTAATTCCGAACGGATGAAGTATAAATTAAGGAATCTAATACTATATGTTAACGATAGTCAATTTTTTCCTTATTTTCCAAAGGTAAAACCAAACACGTGAAAATAACTTGCCATTTGTTTCCTTTCCCTAGATACTTCTGTAATGCAAACATACCCTAAAGATTATGTGCAAGAAATTATGTTCGATAAATATTGCAACTGACCTTCACATCTAGACAGGGATCATTGACCATGTTCTTTAGTTGAGAAATAATGCCGGAATCATGTAGTTTTAGAACACGACCAAATGTTCCAGGAGTGCAGCTAGGAAGAGTAAGGTTTACTAAAGCCCAGACAGCAGCCATGCGTACTCGGCTGTCACTGCTCTGCAGAAACTTAATGACCACTGACGTGGTTGTGTCATTAGATGATGACGGGAAAAGCTGGTGCATAACCGCTTCCTTGTGGAATTCATTTCCAGATGCAACATTGCTCAGCACATACATGCCCTGTTGCATTAGTCATATGTATCTTTAGTATTGAGTTATTGACAGTTCACCAACCCTGCCCATGCACTATATGAATTCGCTCCTTCCCTACGGCTATGTTTGAAAGGTGCAAAATGGTAGACAAAATGCTGAAGAAAATAGTTTCTTGTGCTTGGATCTAATTTCAAAAATACAAAAAAAAGATCAAATTTGATAAAAACTTCAAAAAAATGCACACATTGTTAGTCTTATTCTTTACATGAATGAAATATATAAGATTATAAGCAAATTAATTATAAACAAAATTCTAAAATTAACTTATTGAGTTTTGACCATTTTTAATTTTCTCCACGTATTATTTGCTTCAAATTTCTCATCAGTTTTTCTCTCTATTATCTTGCCCTGAAACCTAACAAGTTCGTAAAACACCCTTAGAAAACTTTACACTTGAGTTTGGCACATTTATCAAGAGAGTCTGTTTTGTGTAGACTTTCCTATTTATGCCCATAAGAAGCGAGTGACATGTCTTTTAAGGTGGATAACTGGATAACTACCAGAAGCATATTGACCATTTAAATGAAAAGTTCACCAAACAGGCAAAGAAAGAAAAATTAAGTTTGATTCAATCCATCAGTCCGGGCATACTATTACCATATAAGTATGTAACACATTTCACCATGCACGTGTTCGCCAGTTTGAAAGAGCAAACTAGTAACCAAACTGGTACATTGGAAACTGTGAAAACCAACAGTCATGTTCCATGATGTACATGTTGATTTTACAGTAATGATGATCTCATCGCGTCATTCTCTCATGATATTTTTATCATCATTTCATTTCATTTTCATTTACCCCAGTGCCACAAAGTCTCCCACCTACGGTGGGGTAAGGGGGGGTCGGATGTACGCAATCTTACCCTTGTACTAAAGCACAGAGAGACTGTTTCCGGATGACCCATAGTGAAAATCGCGTCCAAAATCTCATGATATTTTTATGCAAGTAGGAAAAACCTAAAGCTTGAAACGGGAAGGGCATCTCATATAAAAAAGTCCCACCTTGCTATTTGCATGAATTTACACTGAGATTTAGACAACTGATAGGCACTGCAAATTTCAGGCCAGCAACCCAACATAGTTGGGATTAGGGTGGTGATGATGAGTACGGACTATGAAACATAGAAACAAAAGTCAAATCCAGGAATTGGAAAGGAAAGTGCTTGCCTGAATCAAGATTTCAGGTTTTGAAGCACTTTGTAGTTGCCTTCCCACAGCATGAAGCAGAAGAGAATCCTCACTGACGACATAGTCAATGCAATCTATGGTCCCAGAAACAAGATTTCGAACAAGAGCCAAAGCTTGCTCTTGAACACATGCTTCAGGGTCTGCAGTTTATAAAAGCTAATATTGAAAGGAATTGGATTTTCACTAAAATTACCCACAAAATGACACCAAAATTAAGCAGTTACCACAAATGAGACATATTAGTGTTGGCTGTGTGAGTTCCAAAAGGATTTCTTCCTTGCACCTGTTGTTTACAAGGAACATCAGATTCCTTAAAACACGCACTGCTTTTACCCTAATCGTTGAATCCATTGATTTCAAAAGTTGAACAGTCTGTTTTATAACTCCACATTGCATGAACACTGATTTATTTGAGACAAAGTCAACTACAACATTGCTAATGGCACCAAGAGCAGCAACCTAGACAAAAGAAATAAAAAGACAAACATGAAGAACCAACTAATAATGAATTATAACCTCATTAAATATGGAACACCTACAGTAACAATTCAGGATTTCTGTAGCATAGTAAGTAGGTTCTTGTGGTTAAGGTCAATTAATGAGTTATAACTTACAACTACTTGACAAACTTTCCTCAGTCAGCTGCCATTATATATAACAAATTCACAAATGCTGTTTGGTATGTGGTTTCACCAATATTGGATTTGTTTAGTAAAAATGAGATTGCACTGATGCAGAGCATGTGAAATATCTAGTAAATATATCAATGAGAAACTGCAAAATGCTAATGCCTGGAAAGTGTCAGGAAGTTGTCTTTTGTAAAAAAAAAAAAATATAGCAAACTGCAGCGGCAAGCCCGCAACATAAGACTATTGGCAATTTTGGAAAACCAACACAGAGAAACAAAGTACCTTAACATTGTGACAATCATCAAATAAAAGCTGGAGCAGGGGGGCTGTTACAGTTTTCTTCAAAAACCAACCTGCACTCAGGCTCTGCATTATACTTTGTCAGCATAGTGCAGTTAACTGCAGAAAAGAATCAACGTATCTTACATACTACAAACCTTGACCGAACGAGAAACGTTTTTCACACATATGCAAGCCGCAATACGAACTTCTGGAGTCTTGCAACTAAGGGCCTCCGTGACAAGCTTGAAAGCCTAGAAAAGGAAAGACGAGATGAATATTTTTTATGACATTTATTAACTAAGTAAAAGCATGTGGTGCCACATTGAATAGTTTTCAGTTTTTGAAATCTAGGGTCATGCTTCATACAAATATACAATCATACTAAAACTAAAGATATGTGAAGCACAACACTGCAACCACACATTGCAATCTAAAACATATTTGATTGGGGCAATGTAGAGGGAATGTAGAGGTGTACAATATAAGAGGTAAGAAAAACTTGATAAGAACTAAAAGGGAAGAAAAACTAACTTGCAAATAGGTTCCTAGTATTTCATGTAATAAGAACTTTCTAGGACTCGCAAAAAATCTTAGATGCCTTCTCTAAAGTCAAATATGTAATGCAATAAAATAATTGGTTGATCGGAATGATCTTATTTGTATCGCCGTATAGGATTTCAAAAAACATCGAGGATGCCAGATTGCTATGAGCCTATGATGAAGTCACCACTAATAATATTATCAGCCTTAAAGTACATGATGCACAATGAAGTAAGTATCCATAATTAACAACCACATTTTTTAAAAATACTAACAGCATGGTACTAAAACTCTGACCTCTAAAGATATGAGCTGATCCCTGCAGCATTCTAACCTTGAACAGAGATCAGCCAATGCATGCAAAATTCCCTGTGAACGCCTTGGTTGTAACGAACACCTTTTGAAATGTTCGCAAAGTCTATCAATAGCACTTGCTTCAAATGCTAATCTTTGTAGACCCTCATTTTCTGAAATTAAACTAGATAAAACAAAAGGAGCTTCATCTCCAACTTGACCAGAATCCTCAAGAAGATCCAGTAATATCAATATCAACTTTCTTTGTATTTGTACATCTTGTAGATAAGAAGGGGAAGTATTCCTAATGGAAATTAAACATGTGCAAGCAAGCAGTTTTGATCTTGAATATTTATCCTTAGTTAGCTCGATAACCATATTTAATGCTCTTCCCCTTTGAGGTTCCATTAGTTTCAAAATAACTTCAGGATTTTCCTTAACAATTGTGGCCAGTGCCTCAAGACTAGCATCCTTTTGAACTAGAGAGCCTCCAAGAAGGCTAATAAGCTTATCTGTAACTCCAGCATCACTCAATGCCTTCTGTTCTGCATATGTCTTGCAAGAGTGTGAGATTATACTTGCACCCAGTCCAGAAACATTTTCATTCTCATTGTTTAAAAGCAACAGAATGAATTCCACATTATCCTTTTGGGTAAAGTCATACTTCGGAGCAAAAATTGACTGATAAATCAACTTGAGGGAACGTGCACCAGCGTCCACAACCTACAGAACAGGGGAGTAAAAGACAAAGCGGCAAAACATTTGGAGTCAAAAGGGATAGATATTGCATAAACATGTACTATTTATTGAAATTATAAAAATATGTGCACGTAGAGTTCACAACGCCATTCGTTGAATAATGTAGGCACAAAAAACATATTAATCTTAGATGCACCAAAGCATATCCCTCAACCACAAATTTAAAATCTTTACAAAATAATAAGCATGAATGAGAGTAAAACCTATTTTAGGTGTTCAAAATTTGTTGGTGTGATTGTATAGCAATGTTAACATGTACTAAATGCTTAGGTCATTGTACTTAATCCTCTAGAGATTAACTGCTCAAGGCCCAATTCGGCCACATGCATCCGTCTTCATCACACTTGTTCGCCTCTTCATCTTCTCTGATGTTAGTCCCTATTTTCGTTTTTTCATATTCATGGTACGCGAGCATCTGCAACCCATTTGCTCTCCTTCAATCGTTCCCCCTCCCCCTTCAATCGATCACTCTTGTTCTCTTTCAGGTAAGCCTTATACCCATTCTCTCATTTCTTCTGTTTTTTAATTCACCTTTCTCTTTACTCAATGGCACGATATTAGCCATGCAAATGTTTTCCCCAACAGACCGTGCTTGTTTACAGTTTGTAGTTACGCAGTTACTAGCATTTCATAAACATAAGGGTTATAGGCATTTTCAATTTTATGTTCGGGGGCTAAAAGAGCAGAAAGTTTATATCAAATAGCATATTTAGAAAAGTAATTAGCACAGTAGCTGAGATGAATGTGATTCTTAGGAGCTAAGTTCTTGATATTACAATAATAAAATAAGAACCAAAACAAGAAAATAACAATATAACATATGTGTGCCAGTTCAGTTAAGTTTCAGGGGTTTTGGTCGGTAACTGTCCGAGTGTGAAGATTGAGAGTAGGTGGGCAGGTGGTAGAGGACCCAATGAAAATGCACTGAATTAGCAGTTTTAATTAATGTGTGATTATTGAATGATAACCTGTTACTTTAGGATTTGAGTAGGGTTAGAGTGAAATCAGTGTGGAGTGAAATAATATCAAATTGATATAGGTTATACTTGATAGTGTGATACAAACATAGCTCCAACAAAATTTGTGTTCACTGATTAGGTGCTAAATTGAGTTTTAAGAAGTTTGTTAAACTACTAAATTGAGTTGTAGGAGTAGTATTAAGTTGTTTTGAGGACTAAATTGTTTTATACCTTTTCATGACAACCCCATGTAATTCAACTATTCAAGTAGAAAAAATTTAGATCCTTATAGCATATATTTTAGTTCTTTTTCGGGCTTATCATAGGGTGTGACATAGTAAGTTTACGCGCCTGTCTTTTTTGTACTACTCGTCTACTCAGAAATCAAATGGTGACACACAATGATACACCTGTAGCTACTAACATGAACCAAATCTACTTTTTTAAAGGAATGCTCCAAATGACAATAGTCAGTACTATTTAATGAATGCATGTTCACTTGGAGATATTTATCCATGCTCCGTAGGTAGGGGATGTAGTGTCAAACCATTCCCGTCATGTTTTTGGCATACAACGTACGCTTTTGGCTGTTTCTGTTCTGGACCGGTCATGGTTGTCGATGGCGTGATATGGCGCGTGCGCCATGCGCCATGTGGCGCGCAAAACCCCTCTGCGCTATGAAAATGGCCTGTGGCGTGGTATATACACATGGCGTCGCCATTCCTGCGCCTTCGCCATTCCTGCGCCTTCGCCATGGCGTTATGCATTGTCCAGTAGTCGTGTAGGCGGGATGTTGGCGAAGAAATCCTGGCCTTATTCGCAAGTCGAACCTCAGTGCAGGCCCAGAACCACGTAAAATAGATTTAGGCCTTAATTAAGGCTAATTTAAGGGTTCAGGCTTTAAATTAAAAGCTAAGCTCAGACCATTCGTTGCCCAAAGGCTTATAGCCAAGTCGCACGCAGGAAGCAAACGACTAAGATGAACGCACAGAGTCGCCCTCCCTCAGTCCCTCGCGGAAGCAGAGCAGTAAAGGAACTCGCAGACTTCCCAGTTCCCAGGTCCCCTATCTTTGGCTTCAGTTTTTTATTATTTTAAATTTTAATTAATTAAGTTGTGTATTTATAACTTTGTTGTTTTAACCTTGTTTTTTGTTGTTGTTTTAACTGTGATACTTTTAATTTAAAATAACCTTCTATGATATACTTCACTTTTTGTTTTGATTAGTTTTTTAATTTTAATTCTCATTAATAAACCTTGTTTTCACTTATTAATTGTGAGTTTATTTTGCAATTTTTTTATTAATTGTGAGTTTCAATTCTAAGTTATATACAATATATAATTATATATATAAATATATATACAGTTATATATAGGAGTATACAAATGAGATAAATGAAGATGGTGTTCCATTGCTATCATACCAAGATGATGAGGACTGAGGAGTGTCACAATTGGTGATGATTATGGAATAATCATCAAACAAAACAAGCTAATATATTTTGAAGACATGGAACTTTTTTTTGAATATTATGTTTTTTGGAACTACTTTAAATTATTTGAACCTCACGTGCTTTAGTTAGAATGCTGTTATCCAACTTGTTTTATCATATTTTGGTGGTTGGGTGATACAATTATAGTGTCTATAATTCATTTTTTTTAGTTTTTTTATTTTTGTCACGTGGCGACGCCATATTTGCGCCATCGCCATCGCCATGGAAAAATGCCTGTGCGCCATGGATATCGCCATGCGCCATGACAACTATGGGACCGGTATACTGTTTTCTGTCTACTCGGTCAGTGGCTTTACACTACTATAGGGTTGCAAGAAGTGAAGTGTCTAAGTCCATTGGGGGAGCAGACTTCGAGTGACTTCAAACTACATGTCTAGCTATGTAACAAGATTTTTGGTTGTATTAAGTTATTAACACTAAGCCTCCAGATGTATGGCTGTCGAGTAATGCAGAAGCTAAAGCCATTAACTATGGGCCATATGCACAAAAGCACTTACTTGTCAAGGACTGAAGGACCACTTATTGTGTATGTGCATATAGGGTCTATCATACTATCATTAGCTCCAATTGTTCAGTACTCCCAGTTCTGAAAAAAGAGTCATTTTTTAAAACTTTTTAACTGTAGAAAGGTACAATTCTTGTAAATCACCCATCTATTTATTTAAGGTGTTAGCTTGTAAAAACAAATTTAACATGATTTAACTAGTTCGGAACACTCTTTTGGAAAAACTACATCAAACTCAATAAGAATCAGTTTCTTTTATTAGAACAAACTCTCTGGGGATATAGAGCTTCTTTTGCTGAGTTTTTTTCAATTTATTTGTTTGTAGTTTTGTACCACATAGGTCTCATTTCTGAACATGTTTTTTGTAAGGGGATAAGTTGGTAATAAAAAAACGTATTACTCCGTATTTCTTTTATCTTCTTCAAGCCAAATAAGTAATAGATTATGGTAAATATAATGTATTCTGGTAGCCCTTTGTTAATTCATGTATTCCGATAGCCCTTTGTTAATTCATGTATTCCAGTAGCCCTTTGTGTTATGTGTGGTAAACATAATGCTCTATGTATTCCACCAGCCCTTCTTTAATTCATGTTCACACTAATAAACTCTTTATTAGCATCAAAGAAGAGTAAATAAATCAGACCTAAATAACTGTCTTAGATTAATATATACCCTTTATGCCGCCTGTGTTTTGAAATGGAGACTGAACAATAAAGTCTTGATTTTCTTGATGCTGCAGATTAAGGACCTTTGTTGAGCATGATATTTTGGATGACTTTTTTGTTTGCTCAAGGTTAACCTGTTAGAGAGTACATGATTTTTCTTAGACAGTAAATATTATGTAAACTTGTAAAGTAAGGTTGATCTTGCCACTTGACTTATTTAGTATAAGTTTCTTGTCTACAATTTTTGATATCTCATACATTATTCTTATCAAAATGAGTTAAATTTCCTTTATTTTTCGATATAAGAGAGGATGAGTTTTTGGGGTTAGCTGACATTGTCAAAAAAAAAAGTCTCCTGGCCAGATCATTAGGTGACTTCTTACTTTCATTTCAATGGCTCCACGTTAACATTATTTCTCTTTGCAAATTGGAACTAAAGAGAATTGTTTTTTCACTCAATCTAAGAACCATATTCTACCATTGAAATAAAATTGCAGAAAGGGTAAGTACAAATTTGGAAACTTTTACATTTAGCTAAAGACAATTCAGCCCTCATTCATGAGCCAAATTTATAGCAAAACATTAAAATACAAGAAAAGTCTACTTATCAGGTAGGTTTATGACCAAAGAGCATTCATTTGAGTAAGTTTGATAAATCCTTTTTTTAACTCCATATAATATAGAGGATCACAATCATCTTCATGTCATATTAAAAAAAACTAGTTCATGTCCCTTTAAGTGAAGTGTAACTTTGGTGGTGTTGGGGCTAAGATAACTTTATCTGAACCCTAAATGCATATTTCAACTTGTGAAGTTGTGAGTCAGATTTCTGGAAAGTGTACTGACTGATTTGTGTTACAGACTTACAGCTTTGCGTAATCACAACAACAATATCCAAGCCTTAGTCCCAAAAGATATTGGGGTATAGCTTTACATAATCAATTATACAAAATCAGGACATGGTTTTGGATGAACCTTAATTCACATTTGGTTAGACCTACTGAGAAACACACATCTCAAGTTGCTATGTATTTAATTTTATAGCAGTAAACTATGTGTATAATTTTTTATAGAAGTAAACTGGATTGATTGAGACACAAAGTATAAATTCCTCCTGAATAAGAATTAACATTATATTCACTGTGCGCCAAAATATATGTCAAGTTAGGATGTTTTTATTTGGACTCTTTTCAGTCCTAGACCAGACCAGACTTGTATAGTTGACCAGACATTTAACAGACTAGCAAATTTCAGTCCAACTAAAAACATACTTAACTATTATTTAATTGTGATGCATCTCATACACACTAATTCATCCGTGTACACACACACATTTATATATCAATTATTTGAAGTAACTTACTCTTTCTGTTTTTTATCATGTAATAAGCTCTAAGTATTCATTCTATTCATACCTCAACGTGCATTACAAAAACTAGTGGATAATACAAATGACATGGAAAAATAGTTAGGATAAGATTTGAATTCCATGATGCAGAAAATAATTGTTACCTACATCACTGCTACAAAGCATACTCTAGTCGACAAAATGAATAAAAGTAGCCGCGTCAATGGAACACATCCAAATATGGGGCGTAAAATTGCAAAGAACTTACTGAATCCCAATTTTATTGAATGTTATAAATCGATCGTAAATAATTGCTGGGTAGCAGATACCAGCAAGCATGTAACGAAACTCTCGAAATATAAGAATCACCTTATCGTTAGGGTGAGAGATAAGGCTGAGAAGAAGCGGAAAAGCTCCGGCCTCAAGGACCGCCTTAACGCCAGCATCAAAACCGCAAGCAAAACTACCAATCGCAGCAGCGGACTGAATTACCCGCGAATCGTTGATTTCTGCGCCGCCCTGGGCGGAGATGGATGAGGATAGAACGGAAACGACGGCAGGAACGGCGCCAAGCTTGAGAAAAGATATCTTTTTAGTTCGGTTGCCGATGATCTGGTTCTTGAGCTCCCGGAGAGCCTTGAGCTGAACCTCGGGGCTTGTGAAGCTAAGCCGTCCAATCAGGTCCTCCGTTCGGCTGCGATGCTGCGTTGGTGAGGCTGACGTAGGCATGGTGGTCAGGAGCACATTGAGAAGTTCATCCGACCAGTGCGAGATCGACTGTAGCTCCGAATTTGGTGAAGGCGTGTGCAATTTTCGATTTAACTTGCAATTGGAATTGCAGAAAGTTTCCTCGCAAAAAAAAAAAGAATTGCAGAAAGTTTCCTCGCAAAAAAAAATGAGTTTTTATAAGAATATTACTAAAATAAAACATATTTACGTAAATATAATTATTCATTACTACAATGTGGTGTTGTGGTAACTTAAACTCAAAACTTGAACATGAATTACTATGATTTCATTACTACTCTAGTCAATAATCATATTTTTGTAAATCATCTTTATTTTGGTCATATTTATATAATTATTTCAAAAAGAATTGCAGAAAGTTGAGTTAATTAAGACAGAGCCATTTTATATTGGGCAGGTTTGGCATTTATGAGCACATGTTAGCCGGTTCCGTTGGCAAAGGGAAAATGTTTGTTAATTTAACGGCTCACCATAAAAATTGGTAATAAAATCACATTTCTTTTATTTGGGATGTTTTCAATTTAGCTTTTCCATTCAAAAACATTATAGATGGCCGAACACTGATCCCCTATATCGTACACCCGGGTGTACGTACATCCGGCCCAATTATTAAATTTGACTGGTGGGCTTGCATGTTGTCCCAACGAATCACAATCATACCCCTATATCGTGGTGTACGTACATCCGGCCCAATTATTAAATTTGACTGGTGGGCTTGCATCTTGTACCAACGAATCACAATCATAAGGAACTGTATTCCTTCACTAAAAAAATTAAAATCCCCAGTGGGATTCGATCCCCAGACCCGGAGTAAGGTATGCAGCCTTCCAACCATCTCACTGACTTTTCTTGTTGAGATAATTAGTTCTTTTATCTTACTTATCCTATATAGTTTCATACTGTGTTTTATTAATAGTAATTATAATATTAACTATTCTTTTGCTTTTGCTCATTATTACTATATTAAAAGACGAATTCATATTTTTGAAGTATTTATTTGATCTATGAATCATACTATTACTTTATATAAATATATTTATAATTTTTTTATATAGTGTTAGGTTCCTAATAAGCCCGATGCTCATCAAAAGTGTTTTAATGCTCATAATAGGTCTGATGAACATTAAAAGTTCATTAATACTCATTTAACAGAGACTGTGATTTTTATCGCAATAGAAACTGTGATTTTCATCTCATTGATATGACATTGTAAAAATGAGCATAACATAAGTATCAAATGAAAATACATAATTTAATTACAAAGTGCACATTGATATGAAAATTGTAAGGTTTGTTAGTTGAACATCATGACATTTTAATTGAGCATCCAACATCTACTATTGAGATGAAAATCACGACTTCTGGAGAATGAGTAATAATGAACTTTTAATGAGCACCAGATCTATTCTGTTGAGCTTACTGAATACACAAATTGATATTTAAGCATACTCAAGATTTCAAATGAGCTTTTAAAATTTTTCTATGCTCATTTCGTAAATTAGCTATACTCATTTGATATTGGTGTAATGCTCATTTTAAAATGAGCATTACACGAAACAACTTAAATGTTATATACATGCATATTGGCGTAATGCTCATTTTGAACTTTTTGATACTCGTTTCACACGTTATGTATTCACATTTAATATTTGATCATCAAACATCCGCTATTGAGATGAAATTCACGATTTCAGATGAATGAGCAATAATAAACATTTAATGAGCATCATACCCATTCTGTTGAGTATTAGGAGTCTAATATTGAGAATCGTGATCTCCGCTTCATAGCTTCTAATTCACTTTCTTTTTGTTATTTTTTCTTTTATAAATCTTATTAAATTATATTTATAATCAACTCCTGTGAATTTCAATATGTGAATTAATGTAAAATAGTACTTTAAAAAATCCATTGATATGACATTTAGAAAATGAGCATAAGATCTCTACCAGATGAGCATACGTAACTTACAGTATTAATGAATTTGTTAGCTGCTTTGTTATTCGAACATCACGACATTTTCATTGAACTTCAAACATTCTCTATTGAGATTGATGAAAATCACGATTTCAGTAAAATGAGCATTAATGACTTTTTAATGAGGATTCGACCTATACAAATGAGCATATGTAACTTACAAGATGAGCATTGATATGAAAATTGTAAGTTTGTTCGTTGAACATTTTACACACGCATTGATATGCCATTTTACATATGAGCATAAAATTAGTACCAAATGAGCATGTGTAGCTTACACAATGCGCATTGATAAAAAAATCGCGTTAATTGGACATCACGATATTTTCATTGAGCATCAAACCTCCTATATTGAGATGGAAATAATGATTTGTATTAAATGAGCATTAATGAATTTTTAATGAGCATCAGACCTATACAAATGAGCATATGTAACTTACAAGATGAGCATTGATATGGAAAGTGTAAGCTTTATTCGTTGAGCATCAATACATTTTCAATGAGCACCAAATCTGCGTTATTGAGTATTAGAATCTGCGATTGAGTATCATGATTTGTGGTCTCATGTCTATAATCAACTCTTATATAAATCTAATAATGTAATATGAGACTTTTGAAATGTGCATTGTTAAAACATTTTAAAAATGAGCGCAACAGAAATACTAAATGAATATACATAATTTACAAAAATGAGTATTCGAAAATTCAAAAGCTCATTCATGTATGTTCATTTTTTAGGCGTTTTACTCATTTGAGTTTAAGGTAAAACTCATTTCTAATGTGCTCGGTATAATATATATAAAAAGAAAAGAAGTAAACAACAAATAAAGAAAGTAAAAGAAGTAAAAAAAGAGAAAGTAAGATCAACCAGCAAAAGTAAAGAAAATAAAAAACAAAAAGACAAAGTAAAACATAGAAGAAACGAAGCAGCGAATGAATACAAAAAAAAAAGAGTAAGGAAGCAGCGGCTAACACATGGATGAGCCGCTGAAAAAAAAAAGGGGAACTAAAAAAAAGCAGCGGCCAATGACGAGCGTGAGTGGAGCACGGAAGGAAGAAGCTCAGTCTATTTAATTACAAAAAAACCGGGTGTACATACACCTGGATGTACCATATAAAAGTAACGAAAAAAAAAAATGTAAACGTAACAATTAGAATCGATGGTGGCGGAAGAAAGAAAGGAAGAGGAAGGCGGCGGAAGAAAAGAAAGAAAAGAGGAAGGTAGCGGAAGAAAATACAGAAAGAGGAAAGAAAAGAGGATGGCTGTGGAAGACGAAAGATGATGGAAAGAAGATGCTGACTCAGAGGCTTGAAATTGTATATTTACAAAAATACCGGATTTATCTGTACATCCGGGTGTATGATATAAATTGCCTAGACTGGTTTACCAAGTAGTTTTCTCAATAATGAAAACACTAACAGTGACCAAACAGTCATTTTTTGCCAAAAAGTCATTTTTCAAACACCCCATTAGTTGAGTTTGTAAGGCAAGGTATAAACGTGGAGAGTTACTGACTTTAGAATCTCATTTGCAGAGATCGTGTTAGGTTAGATGATAATTTTGGTTACGGTTTCAATGGATATTTTTTATAAATACATTTCCGATTTTAAACATAATTTCAAGTTATTTTTTTTATTTATTGAAATTAAAAATGAAACAGACTGAAGGGGGGACCAGACCAAGACCCTTCAGAGAAGGCATACCTCCTCAAAATACAACGAAATAAAAATACTAGAAAGCAGATTAGGGGGGCTAGACCTGACCTAATCTGTCAAAATCAACAATAATGTAAACCTCTAAAAGAAGGAAGTAAAAAAAACATTTGGAGCCCCAAACAAAAGCGAAAAATACCAAATGACGAACTCATCTGTTTATCTGCCGACAACAAATTCAATTAGGCAACCCTAATACTCGGATATTCCCATCTGTCGAGCTGAAGTGCCCCTTGAATCGGAAAAGGAAGATCCTCCATCTGAGTGAAGAAGATGGAGCCACGAGACATCTCATAGGAATGGGCCAGAAGATGCGCGACATTGTTAGCCTCTCTATAGCAGTGGGAGAAAGTGAAATTAAGGCGTTTGGCGATGTTTCTAATCGGACCCGCGAGGTAGCTGAACCGTGTGTCTTTCTCTTGACGAAGGATAGAAATGGAGGCTAAAGAGTCAGATTCAATTACTACCTCAGAGTAACCTGCAGTGGACAGCCAATGAACACCAACGAAAATAGCAGACATTTCAGCCTCCATTACAGAGTGTGCTGTGAGAGGGAAAATCCCCCCAAAAATGAAAGTTCCTGTATCGTCTCTCAGAACTGCTCCTCCAGAAGAAGAATTACCGGTAAAAGCAGCATCAATATTCATCTTTAAGGTATCTTTTGGCTTCTTCCAGTTTATTTTTAAAAAGTTAGGAGTGGAATTTCTTTTAGGAGCAGAAAAGATGCGTCCCTGAATAAGAAAATCAGGAGTACTTTGACGTTTAGGAAAAACAATACCTGCAGACCAATTAAAAAGATAAGAGTTGATCATCCTTTTGAAAGAGTCAGGGTCAAAATCTGATGAATGGTCGCCCCAAGTGTAGGATGAATAACATTTCCAAATATGCCAAGAAATGATCCCTGGAATGCAGTGTTTGTAGATGTCAATGATGGTTTTAGTGCCAGCCTCTAGCCACCAAGTAAAGCAAATTTGCCTATGTGACACATTCCAATTGGGAATAAAAATTGAAAACATGCTCATATAATACAACCAAATAGGTTTAATACTTGAGCAATTATAAAAAATGTGAGAGGTTGAGATGGAATCTTTCCTGCAAAATGGGCATTGTGAGGGAAAGGCATGAATGTTGAATCTGCCAAGATTTTCAGGTAGAGGTAGAATATTCTGAAAAAGCTTCCACATAAAGAGCTTAATAGGAAGGAATTGATTTTTGTGCCAGATTTGAGAATTAGAGAAAGTAGTAGATCTTTTGTCTCTAATTTCCTGAAATGCAGATGACAGGGAAAAATTGCCATCCTGAGATGGAGTCCACACTTGATGGCCATTCTGGAAGTCAACTAACTGTAAGCCTCTTTCATGAATATGACATATTCTTTTCCAAACAGCAGAATCGGGTAGTTTAGCCACCAAATTGTCCCCTCTAGGATATCTTGCATGCATGTAAT